ATAGGGAACCACTGCAGTCCCCAGCAGAGTCGCCAGCTGTCGCTACTGCGAAAATCGGCGCCGGCTGTGACAGAAGAGTCGCCACCGTGCGTTATTTATCCCACAGGAGGGAAAGGAAACGCTCAGAGTAAACCTAACGCAAAGAGGGAAAGAAATGGTCGTCGTAACCAAATCCTGGATTCGGGAGTCGGTTACGCAAGGGGAAGGTATTAGCACCCCTCACGTCCATCGTACTCGACGGGATCCACGCTTGTTTTCTATCTAAGGGTGTGTTATTCTATCTACTCTAAAGGTCTGGTCTAAAAAGAAAAGAAAATGACTCGGCAAAGTATCGCACTTTATGCCTACGTATTCCCGTCTGGAACGAGAAATCAGAGTCAACGTAGTTCGCCTAACTACGGGTTATGGGGGAAGGTTGCTCGCCGAGATATCGCATCTCGTGCCTACGTACTTTCATACGGCATGAAAGATCAGAGCAAACGTAGTTCGGGCTATGGAAGACACCAGCTTGTCTGACAGTTTTTTATCTCCTTCTGAAAAGGGTTTTCCTGATTAAAGGTCCAAGAGGACAAAAACAGAGTTTGAATGTTTGTTTGATTTTTTTACGAAAGAACTGTTTTTTAGGATGTTTGCAATCTCAGTCGCACTAGAGACTATGACCCGGGAGTGAACACTTTGTATGTCACCCAAAGGGTACCACACTAACATCCAGATTACTGGAGAGAGACCCTCCACCAACCTTTTCCCAGATAGCTTAAGGCTCGTAACACACGACTTTAATTAACCTTACTACTGTGTTTTTGAATTTGTTTTGAGAGGAGGAGAGAGACACCCTAAAACTAGGGGTGAAAGGAAATCTACCTACAGTTATCATGCATGGGTCAAAACCTAATGTCTGTCATAATTCCCTCTTGCACAGAGGAAATCAGAGATCCTAGTGGAAACAGCAAAAGAAAGCAAGCAATAAACAATAAACAGTAAACAGTAAGAATGCATGCTATACAACAGTACCAGAGAGGCAAGGGAGAAAACAACAGGCAATAGGAGACAAGCTCCACCTCAAACCTAGAGGTAATCAACACAAGCAAACAGACAATACAGAGAAAGACAAAAGATACAGAGGAGGCAACTCAAGCAGCAGCAACAAACTCCTACAGCAGACAGCAACAGTAAGCTCTAAACAGCACAGTTGAAAAGACAACAAAGTTGACAGCAAAACTTCATCTTCAAACTAGCTTCTATCTCAAGCTTCTCCAACTTCATCTTCAAGCTCTAGCAAGCACACTCCAAGCAGAGGAACAATCACCAAGATCAAGGTTGAAATGTTGAAAACTTAATGAAAACCAAAGGAAATCATCAAGTACCAACATTGAAATGGAAATGTATCCTCAAAGTTTTACTCAACTATGGGCATACCACACATCCCTCCAAAGGAGAGATGGAGTTTCCCTAGGAGGACTTCATGTCATTGGATGGAATAGAAGCACACAATGCATTTTATGTTTGATGAAGAAATCAAAACTAGCTCTAATGGCTCTTCCTAAAACCCTAATTTCCTAAGCTCCTAAGACAACCCCTAAAGGAAAAGGAAACTTCAACTCCAATCTCCAATCCTCAAGCCATAGCATCTATACCATGTCCAAAAAACCTCCCAAAAAGGATTCCAAGCCAAGCAAGCTCCAAAGTCACCAACCAAGCCAAACAAGCAAAGGCACTCAAGAGAGAACAATATAAACACAAGCAACTTGCAAAATTCAACAAAAATAGCAAACAAAATCATAAAATTCTAATTAAATTCCTAGGGGAACATACATGTTTGAGAAACCTAGGGTTAAAAGATTGAAGCCTAATTCAACTTCTATAATATCTAAACAATCCCTAAAGTGAAATAGGTCAAGGGAATCTACAAGTTTGGGAAGGTTCTAATCTCAACACCTAAAACAGAACCTAAAGTTATTCTAAAAATCCACCAAAACTTCTAAGGGAACATACATGTCTACCCTAACACATACTAAAAAACCAAAGCCAAAATCATCACCAATTGGAAGCACAAAATTCAATAAAACAGATGGTCAAATATGCAAATATTAAAGAATTAACAAAAATGAGAAAAAAACAAATTAAATTGAAAAATGCATGAAAATGCAATTTATTGATTTCAGAAAATCACAAATTATCTTAAGATCATGGAGATATTTTTGGATTATTTTTCTGATCAAAAATGAATTTTATATGATTTTTAGAATGAAAGTGAATTAAAATAAAATCAAAATCAATTAAACTAAATAAAATGCAAGAAAAAACAAGGAACGTAGGATCAAGAGACCAAGTCCTCTCATCTGAGGCTCCAGAACATGCCACATAAGCTGCCAACTCAGTTAAATGAAACGCAGCGTATTATGCAGTCAAAGTCAGCAGAAAATCCAACACATCATATACAAAGTCATACTTCCACTCAGATCCAACGACTCATCATCATCGTCTTCATTTAAACTCAGTTGAGAGGGAAAATCCTCAGGTGGTGGTCCAGCAGTCCAACCACCGTCTTCTCCGGCGAGCTAGGGTTGCAGGTCAAGGAAAACACTCAAACTTAACATCATTCTTTCCAGAATTTCACAAGGATTCCAAATATGACCTTCATTTCCTCTAAATCAAGCTAGGTTTTAAAATCCGATCCAAAGTTCAAAGTGCACCTCAATTCTGATCCTCATCAAATCCTAAACTAATTGCACATAAATGTTCCTCATGCCTCCTAGGTCATCATGATCTATCCAATTCATGTTAATTCCTCATGATCAAGCCAAATCGTGCCTCAACAGAATTCATACATGATCCTACATTGTCTCTAATTGTCCAAATTCCTATCCAGAAACGATCTACATCTCTTCCTAATCCTAACAGTAAGTGCAAATTGATCTACCACTTCCTAGAACTATGAGAAAGTTGAAGTTTACATACCTGGTGTAGATCTCTGAATTGATGTGACTAGAGCACGATTCAAGCTCCAAAAGTTTCCAGAATCCTTCCCTGATGATGATAGAAACCTCTTGCAACTTCAATTTGATATAAAACTTCTCTGAATCTCAAATACGATTTTGAGTTGGAGCTCCAAAATTTCAATATCAATCTCTCTGCTCAGCCTCAAATTACCACCAACACTTGCTCAAATCTTCTTCTGAACATTTATAGAATCGTTTGGGACCTTCTAGAGTCCAAGCCCAGGCCCAAATTGGATGATCCAAAAACTCCAACCTCTCCAAAATTTTCACATGGAAAGTGCATGAATTTTCTCAAGAAACTTTCCTTAGAAGCTTTGAATCACTTACATACCACCTTTGGAGTGTGTTCAGACCAAAAAGAAACTCCACATTGCCTTGGTGAATGAGTTGCCATGAGGTTGCTTAAGTGTGAAGAAACAAATGAAAAACTCATGAATTAAGGGTCAATTGAAAAATCTAAAAGAACCAATGTTTCCAAAACATGATTTCTGATCAAATCAAGTACTCACTTGACTTGTTTTAGTCACATAACTAATAATTTTGAATTTTTCAACTTTGAATCCTTTGAAAATCTCCCTTATTCAAACCATTCTAAACCAAGTCTTGCTATGAGCTCAATCAATCCATCATGTCCTCTTGGCTAGCCTGAAAACCCCATTTTGAACAACTTTCGTGTTGAAAAAAATTGCATTTGACAAGTGCAAGTTGGAGATTTTGACCTATGATTGAAAATGACCTATAATCTCACTTTCCCAAAATACCCCTGACTTGTAAACTTCATAACTTGATTTCTACAAATCAGATGGAAGACTTCTAGTACAACTTATAAAGCTAAGATCATGAGGAACAACTTTCATGTTGGCCAAAAGTTCAGGTGAAACCTCCTTCTAGGTCAAAAATAGCTTTGAAGTCAGATGATTTTCACAGACAAATTTCAGTGGCATCTGAGGACTTGTAACTTGTCTGGACCATAACTTGAGTTCTATAAATCCCCTGGAGGACTTATACTACTCAAATTAAAGGTATTGAGATTCTCTACAAGTTTCATGTTGGCCAAAGATCCATTTGAAACTTGTATCTTGACTTATGTTGTCTTGAAGTTAGGCACTAAACAAGGGATTTTACACTGAAACCCTAACTTAGCAACTTCCCACACTCTTGATTCTTCTTGATTTGATCTTGGCACAACACCACAAATGTCTTATTACATCATTTTATGAACTCCATGACCTAAAATTAGGCTTTGATACTCTTCAATTGTCCAGTTGACCTAGAACTGATCCAGATGAAACCCTAATTGCTTGCACCTCAACTGTGGCTCTTGCATTTGACACAATGGCTTGATTGAGCTCTCTCATGGCCCTCTAGGAATTCTATGAGCTCCATACACATCCTCTTCTCATATTCAACACTTCACAACCCTCTAATGGTCTTCAGTTGATCCTCAAATTAGGAGAAGATTCACACTCAAACATTTAAACCCTTAGGCACTCAAACCACCTTCTGATGACTTTGATAATTTCTCAATTTTGAATGAAACCTCTTGCTAGGCTTCTCTTGAGAAAGAATCACACTTGATCCCCTGCTATATGAATGATATCATGATATGCAAATGATATAAATATGCAAATGTTAATGCAATGAAACATAAACCAGGTAAGAAAAGGTTGGGCAAATTTTGGGGTGCAACAACTGGTTCAAGAAAATGCGAGTGTCCCTTTAAATTGCGTGGTTATATGTTGGAAAATAAGAAATAGAGATTTAACCATATGTGGTTTACATTACCATGACTTGTGTGAAAACTTAGTCGGTCATCCAATTGCATGTCACCTCATGCCGGAAGAGAAGGAATGTGTTTCATACATGACATTGAATTTGGTTATACCGAAAAACATACTTACAACTTTGAAATGTAAAAGACATAAAAATATCTCAAATATCTAGCAAGTGTACAATATTTAGTACCAAACTAAAAAGGCGTTGAGGGGGGATAAAACTGAAATGCAACAGCTCTTGAAACTGTTGGATGATAACATTTATGTGTCTAGATACCGAATATGGGGGGATGAAGTAACCGTTAGAGATATACTTTGGACTCATCCTGATTCCATCAAGTTGCTCAACGCTTTTCCCATTATGCTCATAATTGATTCAACGTACAAGACCAACATGTACAAACTTCCATTATTGGATATGGTTGGTGTTACCTCTACTGAGAAAACCTATTCTGTCATGTTTGCATTTCTAGAGACTGTAAAAGAGGAGAATGTTACTCGGGCCTTAGAGGTGTCTCAGTCAATGTTGAAGGACCAAGAAGAGATGCCTAAAGTGATTGTTACCGACCACGATACTGCGCTAATGAATTCGGTTGCAAAGGTATTCCATACTTCTTATGCATTACTTTACTAGTATCACATAACAAAGAATGTGAGAAGTCGGGTTTAAATCGTGATAGGGACGAAACAGATAAAGTCCGAAGATGGAAAAATGGTGAAGGCGATGTAGTTGTGGAAAAAATCATGGATGAATGGAATGGTATAGTAAATTCTTCCACTAAAGAGATGTATGTCGATTTTGTTATACATTTTAGAAAGGTGTGCAAGAAATATCTTAATTTGTTAAAATATGTTGAAAGCACAATTCTTGACCAGGTGAAGAAGAAAATTGTTTGTGCATGGACCGATCAGGTTAGACACCTTGGGAATACAACAACAAACCGAGTTGCGTATGCCCATGCTACATTGAATATTTGGTTGGGAAATAGTAAGGGCTATTTTTGTAGAGACTAGGACTTTGTGAATCAAATGATCTATAACCAACATAATGAGATACAAACATTATTTGCTCGAAGCATCATAGTTTTGGAACACGGATTTAAAGACAATAGTCTTTAGTCTCAGTTGGTCGACAACATATCTCGAGTGGGTTTGAATTATATTTTTCATGAAGTTAAATGAGATGATAATGTAAGCTCCGATAACGCAAAGTGTTGATGCACAATTGTGAAAATATATAGTCTCTCATATGTTTTTGTTATTACAAAAAAGGTGAAACTTGGTAGTCTGATAAGAATGGATGAGATTTAAACTCCCTGGAAGAGGCTTAGGTTTGATGATGTTGGTGTCATGAAAGACGGTAAATTAAATATCTCTATCTTGACCGAATGGGAAGTGATACAAGAGAGGTTTTTTAAAGACGATGCCAATATGAAACTTTACATCAAAGAACAATTTAGGAAGAGCGTTTATCCGAAAACCACTGATTTGAAACCACCCTCTCAACTGGTAAAAACAAAAGGTGCTCTGAAGAAACTCAAGCCTACTGATCAGAAAAATAGCAAGTGTACTATTTTCGCAGGTGTAGTCAAAATAGGGGTAATTCCTCAGTATCGATCTCAGGGTCTGCGTATGACTTTAGAGTTCTAATTGTAATTTAATTAAACAAAAGTACTTTGGGGTTTTAGATTGTTTGGTTAAATTATAATTCAACAGTAAGAAAATATAACAGAATAGTAAAAGAAGTTTGACAAATATGAAGAGTATGCCAAGGTAAGGTGTATGATTTATTAAGTAACAACACTGAATCCTTATTTCAATAAAGATCTCAACACAATCAATTACTGGTATTTTAATTTGTTTACTCCTAAGTCCTTAGTGAGAAAACCTATTATTCCTCAGTCTAATTACTATGTCCATAGATAATCACGGTTGAAATTAAGCATTATAATGTCAACAATATTCCAGTGACTATAGGGTATCCATAATCCTAGGTAATATCTATTGTAGCTTAATTGCACAAAAGCATTAACAACGACCGTCAAACCTAATTTCTAATCATAAGTCAATCCATATTGGTCCGACAGAGAAAGCATTAGAAACATTAAGCGACTAAATTGATTATGAAAAATAAATGTATTACTGAAAATAAGAAATCAAGGTCCTTATAAAATCAAATTAGGGACACCCCATAGAATTGAGGGGTTTAGCTACTTGTAATACCCCAAATTTTGCCATAAGATTTGTCGTCGCTTTTCATTGCATTTTTCTTGCATTTAATCAATTACTAACAAATTTGTGTAGTCGTTTGACTTTTTGCAGGTAAATATCATATGGCATGCATTTTTTTTTCTAAAAAGTAAAAATGGTACAATTGGCAAGAGGATATGTGTAAGGAGTTGTGAGTGTGAGAGGTTGAGAGTTCGAATCTCACCTTTGTCACTTTTTGTTTTTTTATTATTTTTACTCTAAATTTTTCTATCTTTCATTTAAAAAATAACAAAAATAGTTTTTTATTATTATTTAATTATTATTTTCGTATTTTAATTAAATCATTTTTTAAAATATTTTTTTTTTTTCTAAATTATTCATAAAAATATCCAAAAAATCATAAAATAAAAAATATTGGAAAAAATTTTGTTCTTTTTATAATATTTTTGATTTTAGGAATCGATAGGATTTTTAGTTTTTATTTTAAGTTTATTTTAATTATTTTAAATTATTTAAATTTTATTTTTTCTTAACTAATTATTTAGTTTGGGCTTTAAAATGGGCTTTAGGGACATTATTGACAATTTGGTGTTAACCCTAATTTGTTCCCTATATATACATGTGTTGCCTTGTTGAAAAAGGGGGCAGAAGGTTTTCTTCAGAAAAGAGGAGAGAGAGAGGGAGAAACAAAGGAGATCCCCAGAGAAGAAAGGCGGTCGTTCCCACAACTCGTCAGAAGGATTGAAGCTCTCCAGTGTTCCCTTATTCAAACCTTTTTCACATTTACCGAAGCAAACCTCCGCTTCGTAGGTTAAATTACTAAACCTTTTGCCTTTCCATGTTTATGTGCATATTTTGTCATGTTAATGTGTTTAGGTCCGTTAAATTACTAAACCTTTTGCTTTTTCATATTTATGTGCATATTTTGCCATGTTAATCTCCATGTGTATTTAGGTCCGTAGATTTTAATATCAAAACCCTTTTTTAACAAAACCTTTTTTTAAAATCAAAACCTTTTTTTTTTATTATTATTAAAACCTTTTTTTTAGTAAGACCTTTTTTAAAACTGAAAAGCCTTTTTGTTCCCAAGAAGAAAAAAAAACCTTTTTGTTCCCAAAAACCTTTTCCCAAAAAACTGAAAAGCATTTTCCCAAAAAAACTGAAAAGCCTTTTTTTGGATGAAAAACCTTTTTTGTTCTAAAAAAAACTGAAAAGACTTTTCCTCCAAAAAAAAACTTTTTTTTATAATTTAAACTTAATTTTTTTTATATAATTTTAACTTAAATATTTTTTATTAAAAAATTAAAACCTTTTTTTTATAATTAAAATATTAAAAAATTAAAACCTTTTCGTAAGGAACTCTTGATGTTTGATGTTTGTCGTGTCATTTTATGTACCTTTTATTACTTTTCTTTCTTTGAGCATTTCATGTGCATGCTCGAGGTTGAGATGTGTTTGTGGTGGCCACAGCCCCACACTATTTTCCTCCCTCACTTCATTCTAAGTGTCATTACATATTTTCATATTCTTCATGTTTTCAGAAATGTTTCTTTGTTTCTTTATACCTCTGTCTTTATTACTTTTCTTATTTCTGTACCTTAATTATTCCTCCATATAATGATTTGTCATATTTTCACATTTTTTTACAGTTTTATCCTTCCGAAGGATTAGGTCCAGCCTTTTGGCCGCCGAGTCAATAGCCTTACCCCTTTAATGGATCAAACCCTGTTTAGCCTAGGTGTCCCGCCGTGGGCAAAATTGCTTTTATCCTAGTGTTAGGCCAAAAGAGTCGCTGTACTCTGTTTTAAGGTTTTCCGCCGTGGAATCCCTAATTTAACCCTATTTTAATTTTAATTAACATTTTTTAACATAGAGATTGGAGTCTCTGAACAAACCTTGGCCACAGTCAAGACGTTTCTAACCTCCCTTTTGAGGGGAACTACAGTTACTCTGATTCCATTCTCGTAAGGATATGTAGGCACAAGATGCGATGTCTTGCCGAGTAAACTTAGAATTAACCCCTAGGTATTTTTTAATTTTCAATCCTTTGTATATACCCTAAAGCAAAATAATTAATGAAATAAATAAAAAAAATAAACAAAAGGTTCCCGTAGAGTACTACGGAAGTTTAGGGTGCTAATACCTTCCCTAAATTTAACCAACCCCCGAACCTTAGATCTCTCCCCTTTAGGTTTTTCCTTTCTTTAACCTTTCCTTCGGATAAATCAAAGACCGGTTGTAAATGAATTAAGATTCAAGTTAATCAATAGCTTGACATCCAAATTTCACCGCAACAGAAAATGGCGACTTCACTGGGGAGTCCTAACTATTGAGGGTTATCCCTATTTTGTTTATTTTTCTTTATATATTTGTTTTATTATATATTTTGCTCACTTGTATGTATATATTGGGGTACCTTACTTGGAGTTACTGTGTTGTGAGATAAGTCCTACACCCGGACTTGAGCGACCTTATGATAGGATGTCTGATATATTCGACGAGGCTTATAGGGAGTGAGTCCCGACTAAGCTAAATCGAGAATCACCGCTCAGTTGAGACACTTTCGAAAATGGTTCGGTTGATCGAGTGTAGTCGTGAAAACTTTTACCGTTATCGATTGGAGTCTGTGATACTAGGAACCGTAGTACCTTTACACCATCTTGACCTTATATAGGACGTAGTGCGGGAACTATGTGGGAGTAGTCCTACAATGGTTGCTACGCGATACTACACTCAAATGAGGTTCTCTTGAGAATATTATCGACCCTTGAGTCAGTCGAGAAGTTGATAATATCCAAAAGATGGGCTGATGACTTTGGGCACTTTTTAGAACCCTTGTTCTGCAGGTACAATTAACCTATAGTACACACCACTTTGGGAAGGGTAGAACTTGACTCCATTCATTGTTCCTCTAAAATTAGGACCTTTGTTTGCTTATGTGCGTTTGTGCTTTGCATCCATAAAGCATCATATCATTTCTAGTTTCAAGGAATTCAGCAGTCCTTTGCAAATTCGAAAAGCCTTACATTTTAAAGTCTAAAATTTTTTCCAACTTTCTTAAAAAGCAATATTCGCAATCGACCGTTGAAATTCTTGAGACCATTGCATGGCATTAGCATCACATTTTTGCATTGCATTTATCCCCTAGTTTTTCCTTCTTGGTCCTATCGTCTTCTAGTGTACCTTTGAGTCGTCAAGCTGATTCCTCGACACAGATATCAGACCAGAAACGGAACAGGAGTCACTTTGATCCTATTCTCATGACTTACACAGAGCTATATCCTGACTTAGTCCGGCAAGGACTAATTACTACAAAGGCTTTACCACCTCCTCTTAATACTCCGGCTGGATTTAGGGCTGATCTCCATTGTGCTTCCCATGAGGGTGCCCCAGGCCATGACTTGGAGCATTGTTTTGCATTGA